ATGAAGAATGCGTGTGATATTTCCACAAATTCTGGTCAAAACATTTTTTTTTATATACCTATGATGTGTTTCTAGGCTGATTACTATATTTTGAGACACAGCAACTGTAGGAAGCAAATGAAGTAAAGGTGTTTTGCAAGATGACCTTCAGTGTTTTGACTGACTTTGGATGAAAATACATTTTACTTGAAATAAATCTTTGTGCTAAAAATGAAAAATTTTGCATAAAGCCAAGGGCAAATAACAGTTTTTTGGATAATCCACTGTTAACTCTTGTGTCACGATGGTAAAGTCCATCATTTGTTCATGTCTAATCCAGTCTGCAGAGGCTTCAAAGGGATTTAGATTCCTGAAGCTCAGATCTAATGCACAAAATAGACATTCATGCTGGACCAAGATACCCAGACTTTGATCAGCCACACGGCTCATTTATTGGATCTAGCTGCAGATATACACACTGCTGTGATGCTTTTATTTCTGTTTGAAGGCACAGTCTAACTCCAGACTGAAGGATCCAACATCTTCTCAAATTATCTGCACAAAAGGTCAGCACATTTGTTTTCAGTTGCAAAAAGATCTAATTTAGAAAATGACTCATTGTATTTGTGGACTTAGAATGTGGAATTATTTGTTAGTGTTTATCCTGAGCTTTACTGCCACCTGTAGGTGTTTCACCATTATGCCAACCGCATAGAACTAACATGGCGGATTTACAAACATCTGTCAAACATTGTAGTTTGCTTATGTCTTGGAAAGCTGTACCTTCATGGGCCATTTATTGGAACAAATAGCATCCAGGTGGATTAATATTTTTATTTTGTATTTCATAAATTATTATTTCGCAATTCACTTTAAAATGTCAGAATATTGTTTTTGTATCATAAAACTATTCTTACAAAGGTTTTTTTTTCTGTTTCTGTTTCTTACAATATATATATATATATATATATATATATATATATATATATAATGTAAATGCAAGATTCAGCATCCAAAACACTTCAGGACTCTATTCTCTATGCACAATCTATGATAGTATTATAGTATCTGACATTATTCCATGTTCTGTGCAGCTGTGCTTGTATCCAGTGGTGCAGCAGAGTGGAGTTTCCCCCAGTCTTCCCCACTGTGTGGACTCTCACAGCCCTGAAGCCATGAGCCGCAGGGCTACATACCTGAGCCCTCTCCCTGTGGCTCACCGTCAGGCCTCTGAGAGGTGGGCGAAGAGAAAAGGAAGAAGTTCAGAGAAGTCCCAGAATGGATGGATTGTGTTACATTCCACTTGACATGTTAGTAATTGAGACATGTGAGCAAGCACTGGAAATACAGTAATGTCTTTCTTCCAGGGAACATTGTCCATTCGAATGGAATTGTAGTGATTACATATAGCAAATAATATCAGTCACAGTAAATAGTCAAGGGCATATTTTTAGAATATTACAGTAAAAGATCACACATTATGCACACATCAATAATATTCTTATTAAGCCTTTCATCTTGTTTCCCAAAATATCTAAACATCTTTATAGTTTGATAAATTTAGATTTTAAGACTTCTTTTAAAAGAACATCTTGATTTATTTACCAATTGGGTATGACAAATAAACATAATTGACTGTGTCTTGCATGGTGGATTGAGAGTCTCACCATGTGCACCCCCACTTGTGATCCACCATTAAAGAACATCTTTGAGTTGTCCTGCTCCTGATAAAAATAAATAAATAGATCAGCAGTTTCATAAGGTGCTTTTCAGTTCCATATTCAACAAAAATGATCTTACATTATATATCAGAGGGTCCAAGCCCTCAAGATTGTTTCACTCAACCACCTTTATTATACTTTTAAAAGGCTTATATACAAAGTGATGTTAAATACTCTCCAAGATAGCTGCTGTGGGCTTTTGCACATTTGTACTCAACTCACGTAATCTGAGTTGGCCTCAAGTAGTTCTTCTGCCTCACTGTCTTCAGAGCTACAGCCTCCTTGTTGACATCTCACTGCCCGCCTCTCTCGCCCAGACCTCAGAAAGTCCACTGCAGAAGACTTCCGGAGAAGTGCTAAAGTAAGTAAGTAAGTAAATAAATAATCAGTTTTTCATAGGGAACCTTCTACAATCTATATTGGGGTGGGGCTATAGACATATGGAGTTTTTTGTTGCATGTTAAAAAATTCTGAAAAATCTTTTTCACTGATTATTCTACTGATAATTAAAAAGCTAACTGTGTATGTCTTCTTTTCCTCAGTACTTATTAATCATACTTAATTTAATAACATTGTTAATAACAATTATTGAAAGCAACAGATTAAATTGTATGCTTAATAGATTCATATTCAATCTAATATAAATAATGCATATAAAATAATATACATTAATATATTTGATCAATAATTTACATGGATAGATATACTTAATATATGTATAAAATTACAACATAATCGTATAAAATATTATACATATAAAACTGCCATTATTAATGAAACAAAAAAACTAAACAAAACTGTCAATTCATTATCCATGAATGAATTAATTAATTAATGAATGAAAAAGGAAAAGTCAGCAGCACAAGCTTCTCATACCTGCTTCACAGATGTAGGTTGCAAACGCCAGGACGAGCAGCATTAGTATCATCTGTCTGTGTGGCCCCATGTCTGATCTCAGCTCTGAGCTCAGAGTCCTGCTGCTTTGTACCTCACCTGAGAATCAAGCCCCTCCCACAGCAGCATCAACAGCCGCAGCATTCGTCTCAGTGGGGTGTGGCCTTCAGCATCTGCCCCAACAGATTGAACTGGACCAAAACAGAAATGTACATTTACATAAACCAAAGCACAGTTGAGCCAACACTGGGCACACTGTGCATCTTAAGATGTTATCGGAAACTACGCCACAGCAGCATCAACAGCCGCAGCATTCGTCTCAGTGGGGTGTGGCCTTCAGCATCTGCCCCAACAGATTGAACTGGACCAAAACAGGAATGTACATTTACATAAACCAAAGCACAGTTGAGCCAACACTGGGCACACTGTGCATCTTAAGATGTTATCGGAAACTACAAAATGTAAACACTGGTCTCAGGCCAAGCCAGCAAGAGACAGACGGCAGGTTTTATCACTGAATGTTATGCTGCTTACAATCTTTAAGTGCACTTGTTAGTTGATACATAAATAATATACAAATATTCCATCATATTTATTTAAATATTACATACAGGCTTAAATTGGTTTCTGTCTAGGAATTTATTTATTTAACACTTTATATGGTAGCCTATACAGCTAGATGTCAAATTAGGAAGTTGTCGTGAGAGCTATATTTCAGCAAAGGTCAAATAATCTTTTTTTTTTATTATTTTTTAATAGCTGCTGGACAAACATGAGAATACAATAAAACCACAGAGTGATACATTAAGCCAGTCTATGAGGTATGTCATTATATGTGTTTTAGATGTTATGTTTTTATACATTTATTCATTTATTATTTCCACTGGCTAGTGTGATATTTTTGTATGCTATCTTTCATATTTTTTGCTTTATGGATTGTTTTGTGTTTCATATCAGTTTTATTGCCTATATTTTGATTAAACCCTGTAATAAGCAGTTTAATGGTCCATTTTGACAGTTTACTCTATATAGTGTGAAAATATGCATTGCTATTGTGAAGAAAAAAAAACAAACAAAAAATTATCCTTTTTCCTGGGCAAAAATATTATTATTTTTTTTTTAGTAGCCTTACACTATCTTTCAAAAGACTAGGCCATTAAGATTTATTTTTTATTTTTTGAAATGAATATTTTTGACAATATTTTAAATTAATAATATTTAACAATATTACTGTTTTAACTAATCAAATAAGTGCAGCCTTGATGATCCTAAGAGACTTCTTTCAAAACATTTATAAAAATGCATCGTTTTTAGTTTAATAATTGAATTATTGAATATGACATGTAATCACATTTTAAATGAAAAACAGATCATGTATATGATTGAGAAATGTATTGTGTGTTGGCGTGGTTTGTATTTACACCTGTAGCGTCTCCCTGAAACACTGTGTTCGTGTTCAGGCTGTTGTGTTGCCAGTAGTTCAGGTGTGCCATTGTTCAGTTCAGGTTTGCAACTGCCTCACGTCAAACAATTTAGCCCTTGTTTACTAGAGCACAACAAATCGGATCCTGAAGATTCTTAGGGATTAAACAGATTAGAAGTGGATAGCGTGTTTTTGTGGACAAAGGGTCTTGTGATTCAGGCTATAGTGTTACCTGTCCCTCTAATTAAGAAGCTATCGAGAAGCTGGATGAAGGGCGAGATGGAGACTTTCCATCAGTGGAAAAAAACTCAGAGGACCCATTAAAGTGAAACCGAGCATGATAACCCCAAACCAGGCCCTGTGACCTCCTGTATCATCACGCCACTTCACTTTTAGGCCATCTACTTAAAATTCACAACACACACACACACACACACACACATTATTCTCTACTGTTTCACTTTAGAAGCTTGTGAAATTCCACAACCGGGAAGTCTGGATGCCTGGCCCTGCAGACACAGAGCTGGCAGTATCTAAATAGCACAGGGCTAAACTTGATAGCTTATTGTTAACTTGTTGGTGCATGTAGATGGATCAAATGGTTTTCTTTGCATGTGTGTATTTTGCAAAAGCAGAATTTATTGTATTGGTTTAAATTAATTCCAACTAATTCTTTACTGACAGGAAAATAGGGCACAAAATGAAAGAACCATTAATATCTTTATTCACATGGAGCATGTGTACTTTTTCTTTATTGTGTAAGTTCTCAGTTTATAACAATCGAAAGGCCACGGCTAAAGCTACAAAAAAATGTAAGTAGCCAACTCTTATATTTGTTTTATGATTTTGACTGCAACGACATGAGGATTAAATTAACATTAAACTAAAGTAACATATTGATTGTTGTATTATCCAATGGCTTCATGAGCCAAAAAGGCAGAAATTACACATTTCAATTTTACTCTGTGCTTTGAAAACCCAAACAATGTAAAACTGTTTTATTAGGGAACATTTCATAAAGATATGACTATGAACACAATTCTATGCAACATACATTGGACCACAGTAACAGTCAGGCAGCCTATCCTGTTGCATTACTTTAACAAAGGCACTGGAGTAAGCACAAACCAGAAACTTCCCTGTTTTTATACTGGTTTAACTCTATGACGTGTCAAATTAAATGGTTAGCTTCGTAAAAGTGCATCATCATTTTAGCCATCACTGCAGTTATGAACTATGTTTAATGGTTGTTGTAGTTTTCTTAAGAGTACAATAAATTTTGTGTGCACACGTGCAAGGTGTTATATTGCAAATCAAGGGCGATGAAAGCTGAAAATAATCATATTATATTTGAAAAGTGGCAAGTGCTGATTGTTAAGTATAAGAGACAATGTTTAAAATTAGGCAATGAACAAATATTTGGCGGTTTGATAAAAAACAATTTGCCTATAATACTGATATTGTTTGTGTAAACACCTTATACATGTTCTGCCTGTCATTTAGAGAGAAATAGCCTGTTTTTTTTCACTCTGAAATGAATCCCTGTACCTTGTTTTCACTTTTTCATCTAATGTGGCGGAACCAGAACATAGCTGTCCATCCATGCATACACACAAACTCATAAGCATCCTGGGCAGTTAACCCATCAAGTCTGACCCAGAGCAGAAAAAAACACTCTTTTTCTCTTTGCAGTCTCCTGAAACCTCTTAAGCATCGACCTCCTTATAATGTGAAGGTGTAGCAGAGGCCCTTTGAGTCTTGTCCTTATCTCTGACCTCTCTGAACCTCCTACAGAGAGAGGTGAGTGTATTGTTGGTGTGAGACAGGAAGTAGAGAAGCAGAGTCGTGTGGGTGGTGTTTAGGAGCTGCAGCAGCTCTCTATGTTACTGGCTGTGCACAAATACACATGGATCCAGTCTTTGTTTACGCCCCTACACCTCCTTCTCTCCAGAACTTGTAAACGATGTTCGTCTCAGGTTTTCCTTCACTTTTATGAATTCCGGAGCACTGCAGTTGCTGTCCTCCAATTTTGCTTGCTCCTTCTCCAGCTATGGTACATAGAAAAACAGATATATACATTACTTGGTGCATATTTGGTTGCTGGTTTGTCAATAAATAGGATATATGTAAACGTAATAAAATGTGATTGCTTTGTTAGGACCTCTGAGATACATGACATACTAAAAGAGGATACTGACCCTCATTAGTACAGGTCCGCATCACACACTCTATGATTGTATGTTTTTTACCTCCTCTAGTTTCTGGTGTCTCTTGAGAAGCTCCTGTTCCAATGGAGAGATTTTCCTCCTGGCCTCCTCCTCCTGCTTTCTTTGTTTTATCATCTGCTCTCTCTTCCTTTGCTCCAAGACACGTTGCAATTCTGGCTTGTTCTCCACACCAATACCTCTGAGTATAATAGAATAAAATAGGGGGGAAATAAATAAATAAATAAATAAAATATAATTATAGATTGGCATGAGGTAATTATATTAGATGGAATGAAACAGAAAGAAAATAAAAACAAAACATTGAGAAATTAAACAAACAAGAGAAGAGAAGAGAAGAGAAGAGAAGAGAAGAAAAGACAAGACAGACTACATCACATCATTAGCTGAAGCAGTCCATCAGTCATCCAGCAGGTGGCATTATTGTCATGTTTAATCAGTAATTGTGATTTTTCTAAATAAATGTGTGTGTGTGTGTGTGTGTGTGTGCGTGCGTGCGTGTCTGGAAATCTGTTATAGCCTGTAAAATTAGTGCTCAGTTTTTTTATGTAATGCATATCCATTAGTTTCCTGTTGTTCTTATCCTTCAATGTTATGACTTCCCATCTTAGTCATGGCTGAGGCACATCCCATTGATAATGGGCTCATTTTGACAGCCCATGACATATGAATTGTGTGTTTGTTTGTCTAAGTGCAGTTTAACTGAATATATATGAGCCTTCCATCTATTACCAAGAGTGGATAAGCTCTCATGACTGTTCTCAAGGTGCCAAGCTCCTGCCAACACGAGTGATAATTATTAATTATAGTGCCAGGATAGACATATGCATAGACACACACACGCACGCACACACAGACTGATAATTAAATTATGTGTGAGCTTGTTCTCTCCACAGTGAGGTGGCGCCACAGGTGCTGAGAGAAGGGGAAGGAAGTGTGTTTGTGTGTGTGTGGAGTTCAGCACGTGTGGGAGTTCCAATTAATATCCTTGCTAATATAGATGGTGTCCTTCAAACTGAAGAGACAGCCAGACAACAACAATTAAACACAAGGGGCAGTTAATGAAGATAACAAGAGAGATATCAGCCCCAAACAGCTCCTGAGAGCCCTCATAATAATAGCATGCTGGTCTTTAGTCCTATCTCAGCTCTCGGCTATGAATAGTCACTTGCTAAACCTTGTTCAGATCGTTGGCATCGATCCTTTCCTGAAATGATCCATAGACGGTGTATTTTTTCCTATCATGGCTAACAGTGACATCTGAGACAAATTTGTCTCTCCCCCTTTAGAGTCTTCTTTTAGCATCACTTTCCTTGAGTGATGGCATCTGTGTTTAGCGTAGCTCTTTTAGTAAAGAGTTTTGCAACATCACTGGCATATAAAAAGCTTATCTTGAAAAGGCTTGATAAAAGAGGCACTGTTCTGAGAGTGACCTATTTCCTCCGCCACCCTTGTGCCTACTGTGCCACCTTTGATGCCCACTGTTATATGTGTGCATGTGAGATCCACATCTCTTTTTCTCTCTTGTAATGTCCTCTACAGATTGATTGTCTTCTACAGGGTCTCTGAGCACCAAAGAGGCACAAGCGCCAACAGTGACTAAAAGATACCCGCTTAATGGCTGACACGGCACTGTGCCAGTAAGCTCTCTGTGGCTTTAAGTGTTTTGTAGTGGTACAGAGGGCACACACTAACAAATGTACCCACACAAACAGTGTCTTCTTCTCTGTAATGAAATAAATAGGCCCTCCACTCATGCTGTCTGCAATTTCATTGGTTTGTATTAGTCTCAGCACATGAGATAGCTGGAGTAATACTGGTAACTACATAGTGGTCAAAGTCAAGGATGCCTGGAAATCTTGTGCCTAGAGGGCAGTTCCATTCCTGGAAAGCCACAAATGCAGTTTCAGCCCTAATTAAACACATCAGAACCAGCTGTACAGTATAAGCTGTACAGTATACGAATCATTAGAGTTAGAACTAAACTATGGTCATGGCCCTGCATGAACAGAATAGTCCTGCCATAAGCCGTCCTGTTGTCATTTTTTGTTTTAGAAGGGTGCTCATGAGAATCCCGTTATCTGCCCTCAATACGCACTTCTGAGTGGCATTACATCATGAAAGTGTGGACTCAGAGGAAGACCACACAGGGCACCGTGATGTATCTATGTACATGGAAATCATTAGGAAGAGACCAGTAGACAAATCTGGCTAGGATGCAGATCAAGAGGCAACCTAGAAATTGACAGGATCCTGGTTTAGGCAAAAAATACAGTGTACAATTTACAATAGTATGTCCTCATCACTACTTGGGCCATTATGACCCATACAAAGCACAGGCTGAGCACCCTCTGCTGGCCCTTATCTGAGAACAACAATTTGATATTCCCCAATTAACTCTAGGTTGCAGCCTCTGTAATACATGTGCTGTAAGTCCCTTTGAATAAAAGTGTCTGCTAATTGACTTGTTACTGGTAAATGCATTGTTCACAATGCTTACAGTTCAACCACTGTTGTAAATTTTGCTAAATAGGACATGTTGATCCAGTAACAACATTCCTATCAACCAGTCAAGGCTTAGGAGTAAATATTAAGTTTAGAGATGGCACAAAAATTTGTAGAACAATCGTACATCTTACTTTTCCCTCTAGTTCTAGATGTATTTAATAGCTAGGTTTGCGGTTGAAGATATGTTTAGGACTGTGTTTGCTTGACAGGACAAACATGTTGATCCTGGGATCACGGTCACCACTCAGCTACTTTGATATATACAGGTGTGTCTCAATAAATTAGAATGTCGTGGAAAAGTTCATTTATTTCAGTAATTCAACTCAAATTGTGAAACTCGTGTATTAAATAAATTCAGTGCACACAGACTGAAGTAGTTTAAGTCTTTGGTTCTTTTAACTGTGATGATTTTGGCTCACATTTAACAAAAACCCACCAATTCACTATCTCAACAAATTAGAATATAGTGACATACCAATCAGCTAATCAACTCAAAACACCTGCAAAGTGTTCCTGAGCCTTCAAAATGGTCTTTCAGTTTGGTTCACTAGGCTACACAATCATGGGGAAGACTGCTGATCTGACAGTTGTCCAGAAGACAATCATTGACACCCTTCACAAGGAGGGTAAGCCACAAACATTCTTTGCCAAAGAAGCTGGCTGTTCACAGAGTGCTGTATCCAAGCATGTTAACACAAAGTTGAGTGGAAGGAAAAAGTGTGGAAGAAAAAGACGCACAACCAACCGAGAGAACCGCAGCCTTATGAGGATTGTCAACACATATATATATATATATATATATATATATATATATATATATATATATATATATATATAAATATATTATTTAAACACCCCCTAATATGTCATTTCAAACTTACTAAATGTCTTTTCATGTATATGTCATTAGTACATTTATGTCTCTAAAAGGTTCCCAGCAACAATGAATCATATAAATAAATACATAGATAGATAGATAGATAGATAGATAGATAGATAGATAGATAGATAGCCAATATATATATATATATATAAATATATTATTTAAACACCCCCTAATATGTCATTTCAAACTTACTAAATGTCTTTTCATGTATATGTCATTAGTACATTTATGTCTCTAAAAGGTTCCCAGCAACAATGAATCATATAAATAAATACATAAATAAATAGATAGATAGATAGATAGATAGATAGATAGATAGATAGATAGATAGATAGATAGATAGATAGATAGATAGATAGATAGATAGATAGCCAACCAACCAACCAACCAAACAAACAAATAAACCCAAGTCTCCAAAGTACTAAATGGGAAAGCCTTCCGTTTCTCCTCATGTCCCATGCTCTCATTGCTAGTACTATCATTAGCATTGTGCAGTTGCTTGGTAGCAGCACACCACAATGCCACCCCCCCACCTCTTTAATACCAGTAAATGTGGTAAAGGTGAACTCACTCTCTCTGTCTGAGCAGAGGGGTTTAAAGTCCTCAGGAGTGGACAACAGAAGCCCCTTTATCCTTACCTCTCCCTCCATTCTTTTCTTTCCTAGACACCTTAAGAGGTTTAAAATTTAAAGAATGCAAGGCTCAGCCAATAAATTTCAATTATATATATAGTATTCACATTCCGTTCGGGTCCTGCCTTGTGTTTTCACACAAGGGGTATGAGTACTAATCTAAAGTTGCCAACAATAGAGTTTTACTGTTTATGCTGCAGATCCTGTGGCACAGAACTCAAGTATGCTCTTGATTGCACTGTCATGTCCAGCAGTGAGATTTTAGACATAAACAGGTCTGTAGTGTACAGTTATTGGAGAGTAACTAACTACAACCATGTACACAATGTGGCTAAATATGGTCTTCTTAATCTTGTTCTGTATTCACAGATTTTGGTTATTCATTCAGGTGGCAACTGAATTCTACAACTCACAAACTATGAAGTATGTAGCCTATAAGTAGTGTCACTTATTTGTAGTGCAATAAAACATCACATTGTATTGTAGTCTATCTTCAAAATTGTCTTACAACTAAGTGAGAGTGAGCTGTGGCAAAATTCAAACACACTATCATCCCACTTAAAGGGATAGTTCACCCAAAATTTAAATTTGCCCATTATTTACTCACCCTCAAACCATCCTAGGCGTATATGACTTCCTTCTTTCAGATGAATCCAATCTGAGTTATGTTAAAAATGTAGTTATATTAAATGAGTTATATATTAAAAGTTATATTAAAAATTGTCACGAGACTCACAGGCGTATGCGCAATGCCGACGTCCTACGTCATCCGCCCGGAGCTGCTTCCGAGTACAACAGTGAGCGCAAGCTTACTTTTCTTACAAAAACGCATCGATTCATTCACAGGAGGCCTATGTTCACCCCCCAGAGCCATGTGAGGCACTTTTTATTATGGATAGATGCGCTTTATTTAACTTCTTTTGGACTGATGAACTGCAACACCTGCTGACTGCCATTAAACAGCTTGGAAGATCAAAGTCATATAACTCTGACTGGATTCGTCTGAAAGAAGAAAGTCATATACACCTAGGATGCCTTGAGGGTGAGTAATTCATGGGCTAATTTTCATTTTTGGGTGAACTAACCCTTTACGTACACATCGATTCATTTTAGTATTTATTTATTTATTTTTCATTCAATTCATGTTGGAGTTATTTTATTTATTATTGGAGTTGATTGCAAATTAATACATCCTTGTGAAGTCTAAATTCTTAGTGGAAACCTCATGTAGTCCCCGAATATCTCAGTTGGTAAAAAAAAACAAAAAAAAGTTTGATTTATCTTAGTGTATTCTAATTGCGAATGCTCATGTGACCATTTATATTGTATACATTTTGGAATAAAGCTAGCCAGAAATATGTTGAATGTGAAATCCAATTGATCCACTTACCAAAATCACCTGAATGCCTTCGGTATCATAGTTGCAATTTCAGAACTATTAAGTAGGAACTTTCCAGGTAAACTTAAATGTCTTGCTCAGGAGCACAGAGATGATATGGCTCAGATTTGGTTAGGATACATTTTTTGTTTACATAGCCTACCCTTAGAAACTTTTAAAGGAATGTTCCTCACTCTGAATGTGAGTATTATTTGCCATTTAGCAGATGATGTACAGGGACTTGCATGTACTAAATTTACAGGAATGTGAACAGGAAAACGCCAATCAGTCTATTTTGGACTCATTACCAGATTGCAAAGAATGATCACAGAAACCATCATGGACAGTCTGCAATGGATTTGTCATCATTGCAAGATTGTTTATGTACTGTAAACTTGTGTATCCTCATACCGTTTATGGTTCATAAGCAGCTCCCGATGAAGCTCCTGGTGGCTTTTAGAGGCTTTCACTGGATTATTCAGCTTTTTAGGCTTGATGAGATCATCATCCCCTGTCATGTAATCAGGCTGAGGAGCATAACTGGCCAGTGGGGGGACCTCACGATGAGGGTAACCAAATGGATCCCTGTCCGAGTTTCGTGGCTGATGAGGCTGTTCCCATTGGATATCTGCATATGCTGAGGCTGAGGACAGAGAGAAAACAATGTGAGAGGAAGGAAGTAGCTTTTTCCCCTTTTGACTTCTTTTTACTGGGAGCAGAAATACAAAGAATGACGCAAAAGGAGAACGTAATAAACAGCAGGAAGTGGGACAACACACATCAGAGAACCAGCATTTACATTTACACTACTACATACGGCTTGTCTCTGCCAAGTTTAAATGATTCCATGTGAGCTGAAACAGGTTTCCTGAAGGTAGCAGATGGACATGCAGTGTTTGTGTTCCTCTGGGTTTGGGTGGAAATACCTTAACTCTAATTTCCTTTGGCTGAGTCCAGCTATTTATGTATGTATGTATGTATGTATGCATGTATTTATTTATTTATTTACAAAACCTAACCTCTAACTAAAACACACAGACAAAGTGTTAATGTGCAATAACTGCATATTTCTGACCATAATGGGTGATTTTAATATAATCATAAACTCTGTTCAGACTGTTATATAGATATGTTTTGAGAAATCCTTTATACTATTTCTAAAAAAAAATGTTTTTGTCACCCAGTGCAATTTAATAAAGAATACATCCAGTCATTTTTTCACCCCAAAATTCAAACAAAGGAACAATATTTAGCTTTAAGGAAATTAGGCTTATTTTAGGACCATTAAGTTGCTGTAGTTGTTGTTGTTGTTATTTATCTATCGATCGATCGATCTGTCTGTCTGATTGTTTGTTATGACAATTAAGCATATTCTCATGATGATTTTTTTTCAAATGATTTACAATTGTAAAATAGAGAGATTATGAAATAGTACTGCTTCTGACACGTTTGTACTTCATCACCACTAAAGGACAAACGTGTATCAAGATCCATAATGCAAACCAGCCCAATTGCATCGTGGGTAGAGCCACTCCTCCAGGACAGATTAAAAGTGCAGTGATCTGTGCTAAAGTGACAGTAGATCAGGTATCATAAGCATTGAAGCTTGCTTAGAACAATGCTATGCTTGGAGAAGGAACCAGAGACAGTCTCCACCATTCAATATTAAAAAAGCTGAGCTCAATTCTTAGCACTTCTCAATCTGAGTGCATGAGAAGAGGACAGGGATGAAATGATGATGACAACGATGACAGGCAAGATGGTGAAGGGAATTCATGCATGTGAAAGTATTTGTGACCCAGGGTTTAGTATCAGAGGTTAGCAAGTTCACAACACATTTCTGAGAATTAGTGTGTGAGTGTGAGTGTGTGTGTGTGTACTGGTATTCACCACGTAATAAGGACCAAATGTCCCCACAAGAATAGTAATACCAGTAAATTTTGACCTTGTGGGATTTCATTTATTTTTTTGGGGGTGGGGGTGGGTCTCATGAAGAAACAAGCTTATATAATACATATAAATATAAAACCATTATATATAAAAAACATAACACCTATGGAACGAACCCATAAAACATGGAAGCCAGTGTTTATGTTTGTTTATGTTTATGCTTAACAACCCAAGAAACCACCTAGCAATGTGCTGCTCAGCACAGTAACCCACAATACATTGTGGCAGTAAACTTTGTAGGAAAGTCTAGGTAGAAATACAACTGTACTTAACATTGTTATTTTCCCTTTCCCTTGATGTGGCTCTTTGAAAGATAAAACATATTTTGACATATGGAAATGCTATATTCATCAGAAAAATAAAGATCAAGGAAATCTGTCACAGTCCACAGACCATGTTTATAAGCAGGGTGCGAACTACGGGGGAGCTAGGGGGAGCTACATGGGCTCCCCTGAAAACATGATTTGTGAAATTTTGGGGGTTCTCAAAAAATATTGACAATGTGTTATTTTGACGTGCAATTTCAGTTTTGTGTAATGTGATCATCGTGGATTATTATGTGTAAAATTGCAAAAATATCATTCATTCATGCATGACGGCGATTTAAACCTAATTCACTTCAATTAAGATAACTATACATGCTATTCTTGTCATGAGCACCAAGGTGTGGGGGCGCTGCGATGCAAATTCCACTCATGTTTAGTACATGTTAAAGATTCATAGAAAAAATATAAACGTTGGACTCTGGTCGATTCTGTGTTAAGGTAAGGCATGCTATTCGCAATTATGTGTTGTGGCTGGGTTGTTATAGATCTGCGTGACTCTCGATGTCTTGGGCCTAATTTAACGTAGGAATTATGGTATTAATTATAGTGCTTGCATAAAGCAAGTAGTGCATACACTTGTAGCTGTTATGTATTTTTGTAATTCATTGTAAGCCCCTTTTGAGGCACGCGCAAGCGCACGACCCCCCCTCGTTATAAAAAAAAAACAAGTTGGCTCCCCCAAAGTCCACGGTATAGTTCGAACACTGTTTATAAGGATAATGAATCCATGATCACTGGTTGGACAGAGATTGCATCGTAATAAGAGGGTCTGACAGTTTATATATTGTCTTTGAAGATATAAAATAATAAAATTTAATATCAAATAGAAATATCTATATATTTTTTGCTAAAAAAAATACAATAAATAACAAACACACACACACGCACACACAAAATAATAATAATAAAACATTAAAATAACTATGTTCATTTAAAAACAAGTCTTCATATCATAAGTGTGTCTGTGAAAATGAGAGTTAAGTATATGTGGACACCAGGGTTAAAGTGTTTATTTCATGTTTGTGTGTGCAGAGTCTCTTTTAGTAAAGGCAAATGAATGTGTTGCAATGTCTGCTTGCTTTTAACTGAATAAACTGTGTGAGCATGTAGCCAACATGAATATTATGTGAAGGGAGAGTGTTGCGTCATGGTTATGAAGTGTAATAGATTTTGTGTGCTAGTTCAGAGCTTACAGATAGAATTCAATATGAGATAAAAGTACTTACACATACACATACATACAAGTGTCACAGTACGTTTTGTATTGCTACACAATCTGGCGTTCAGGAAGACTGTCCTTGATCTCATTGATTAGAGATCAGTAACACGGTGAAGAGCAGCAGAGGGTGGACTGTGTCTGTTCTGAAAGTGAATATCCTTCTATTATGGGCATAATGTATTTATCAACATCCCCCACAAACCCAGGAGTTACACAGACAGGGAAGTCATGGGTTTCTGCCGATCAGATCTGAGCCCATTTCCAAGAATTGCAGATTATAAACAGTGTACTTAATTAGATTAATTTGGTGTCTGTGTGTGGGGCTACAGCAGGTGTTTCCTTACATACTCAACATAACCGACAGTGATTCAGTAGGCCTATACACGCTTAAAAATAAAGGTGCTTCTTCGTGATGCCATAGAAGAACCTTTATGTCTAAATGGTTCCATAAAGAACCTTTAACATCTGAAGAACCTTTCTGTTTCACAAAAGGTTCTTTGTGGCAAAAGAAGGTTCTTCAGATTATAAAAAGGTAAGAAAGAGATGGTTCTTTAAAGAACCTTTGACTGAATGGTTCTATGGCATCGCTTGAAGAACCTTTTGAAGCACCTTTATTTTTAAGAGTGTACATAGAAAGTATGCTAATATGCTTTGAGGGACAAGATATGACCCTTACAAGAAAGTACAGAACTATGCTTCAATGATGGTTTCAGATAGTAATACAACACTTTAGTATGACAATCTGATGTATAATGGACCTAAAAATGTAGTATATTTATATTTACAGTTGCCCTAAAAGGAAGTGATACTTAAGTCATGTTCAAAATATCAGGATTGCACTGCTATATATTTGAAAACATCAAAATAAGTGGCAAATAAATTATGCTTTAAGAACTTTTTATTATTATTATTTTTACTTGAATTATGAAGCCCCCTCAGAAAAAAAGATGAAAAAAAAATTAATTTGCCATATATATATATATATATAATGACAATCTGATGTATAATGGACCTAAAAATGTAGTATATTTATATTTACAGTTGCCCTAAAAGGAAGTGATACTTAAGTCATGTTCAAAATATCAGGATTGCACTGCTATATATTTGAAAACATCAAAATAAGTGGCAAATAAATTATGCTTTAAGAACTTTTTATTATTATTATTTTTACTTGAATTATGAAGCCCCCTCAGAAAAAAAGATAATTAATTAATTAATTTGCCATATATATATATATATATATATATATATATATATATATATATATATATATATATATATATATATATATTGTGTGTGTCATTTTGTCTCTACTTTGAAAAGTAACACATTTTCATTGTTTCAGATAAATGACATTCATATGATCCAAATTAAAATGAAAATGTGTTTCATGTTTAAAACAAACAAACAGATAAATAAATAATGACACTTTTTTGAAAGGAAAACTCAAGCATGCTAACTTCATATTAGGTAGGACAGTTTAGATTCCTCTGCAACACTGAATTGTCCCATTGACTACCAGATATTCAGCATTACAAAGACCATTTTTGTTTATACAAAAATCCTCTGTTATATAAGAAGTTTGTTCCCAGAATGGATTGTATACAAACAGAATGCTGACAGTTGTCATGGCGATGTCAGCATTCTCAGAGGATGCCCTGGGATCCCATTCTCCCATGACTGTGTGTGTATGTGTATGTGTGGAGTGAAGTGCTATTTCCCATAATCCCCACTGAATGCTGGTCCTTGGCAAGCCATAACATTTAGACACAGCTCTCAGACAGGGGATTTGCATTATAAAGGTGCCCAGCAAGAAGCAAAACAGCAGTATCTATGGGCAATAACACAATATAACCTATTTCAAGCATGTAAATGTAGTCTTGATGAATCAATAAAAATAGTTTTTAACATGCATGTTTTGTAACTCTGTGTAACTAGGATCCTTATCTTTTTTCCTGTGCTAGCTAGCTATTTATTTATTTATTTATTTATTTATTTATTTATGTATTGTCATTTTACTCATATTAGATGAATATAATAGAATAGAATAGAAAATCAAGACTACAGACTTGAAAGGATAGTTTGCTCAAAAAAAGAAAATTCAGAAAGAAAAATAAAATATTCCATTCCTGCATGCATTTCATTATTCTGTAGAACACTTACAACTTATTTCCCCCCCCCAGAAGATCTTTTATGTTCCACAAAAGAATAATAATAATAATAAAAAAATTATTTCAAGTAAAAGATGACAGAATATTAATTAGTAACACTTTACAATAAGGTTCATTAGTTAACTACTTTAGTTAACATGAACTAAGCATGAACAATACTTCTACAGCATTTATTAATCTTAGTTAATGTTAATTTCAACATTTACCACTGCATTATTAAAATCAAAAGTTGCGCTTGTTAACATTAGTTAATGCGCTGTGAATTAACATGAACTAACTATGCACAACTGTAGTTTCATTAACTAACATTAACAAATATGAATAAATACTGTAATAAATGTATTGTTCATTGTTTGTTCATGTTAGTTAATACATTAACTAACATTAACTAATGGAACCTTATTGTAAAGTGTTACCTATTAATTTTTGGTAACTATACATTTAAGATTTAATAAACAAAGAAACTGCTTAATAGACTTCCAAGACTTGTTGGTGAAAGGTGTGTTTGTTTAAAAGCTGGGCATTCAGAGATGGATGATTTAAGATAACACAATTTGTGTTCAAATACACAAAGCAGGATTTATTGGTGTCGATCATGGTCAGGCAGAAATACATTGTGGACCTTGTGCTTTTCGGCTAAAACAAACACACAGCAAGATACTGCTGGTAAAACATTACAAAAAACAAAATTGTGAAAGATGATCCTGCTTATCCTGTGATACTGACACCTAAAATTGCTACATCTGTATCACCAGATGACAAAAGTGCATAAAGTAAATGACAAATGGTGACTTTCTAATGACTACCAAATAGTTTTTGGAGTCAGTTGTCTCACTTTAGAGCAAAACACCATGAGTAACAAGTTGGGCACTATGCCCAGAGCAAGCATGGTTCCCTGTTTCTCACTCAACTGATTTGTTCAAGTGTCTTTTGTATCATTCTTTTGCCTTCTTAGTTTGTCTTGTATTTGCTACAGCAACTTCTTTTAAAAAAACATTATACAGCTGTAAATACTACACTGTCACTAAGTTATTACATTGCAATAATACAATGTGCACTACTGGAACTTGTTTAAATACAATTTAAATGAATTTATTCTACTATAAGAGTGAAAATGTTCTTATCATTGGTATTTTAATAATACCATTGCATCTGGTAAAGTTTCACTGCATAACACAGCATCATAATATCAGCATCCTGTAATCTCAGCCGCAGTTGAGCAGTTGATTCTGTCTTACCTGACTTAACAAGCACATCTCTGGGTCTGCTGGGCTGGCCCTCAGGAGGATAAAAACTGTGTTCAACTCTCTGGTCCATTCTGCTGTTTCCTGTGTGTGCGTGTATGTGTGTGTAAGCTATCCTACATGTTTATGTGAGGGCCGTTTCTCCTGAGTTTCTGCTGTTCTTCACCCACATGCCTCCTCTCTCACAGTGTAAACAGTCATGTGACCACTGGGCATCAAAGCCACACCCCTTCTGCTCCTCCCAACTTTATTTTTCACGTACACACTCTCTCTTCCTCAGGAGTCTGATAGGATTAGTGGAGGGCTTAATCCCTCTCTTTTGCTCTTCTGCTAAATCTCACATTAACCATTGGACTACCAAGAAGCTTTCATCCTTCACAAATTCATACACTGAGCAATTTAAAATAAGTACACGTACAGAGAATCATCTTACAATCACACATTGTTCATGTCTATATTAAAGATTACATACTGTATACAATAAAACAACATCTCTAGACATGATCATCAGGTCAGACTCATCATTCTTTACTCCGCAGAATTATTATTATTTTTTTCCTCTGGAAATAGGGCTTCTATGGGTAATTGTTGGTTATATAAGACAAGAATGACACTATGACATGATCATAATTGTATACAATGACATGCGGAACTTCTTATTAGCAGTGTAACATTATTTAAAAATGTATTTATTTATTTGTTTATCATAAACTGTTACTACATAGTAAATCAGTATTTATTTTATTTTATTTTTCTTTGCAAAATGTAACTATATTATCACCAAACTCTTATATAAAGTTGGATATATAAGTATGTCCAACTATATCTGCATAGATACAGTATACTTGTGTAGGTAGGGCGATATATATACTATATAGCATGTCTCAACTGCTTGATTGCTTGAATCGCAAAATGCAAACTACTTTGTCACTCACCTCTAATCTGCTAAATTCAACTGGCAACTGGCATCAAGATATCAACCCACTGGCATCAAAATATTCTATACAATAATATCATGATTTTCTGTAAAGCTGCTTTGAAACAATGAGTATTGTGAAAAGTGCTATACAAGTAAATTTGACTTGATCGCTGCTCTTCTGTATATTACTACAGCAAGTTTGATGTTTCCTGCAAACAACAAAACTTTGCATTCCTTTAAGCCTAACATCTATTAAAAAACGGAATATTTTTCAAGTGATGAACATTTCATTTTTGAGTCTTTTTAGGGTCAGTGGCACATGACAAGTTTAAAAGCATTATTTTATGTCAGGAAGCATGGCATGAACTTCGGAAGTCTTTTTCACCCAGTCATGACGTGTCAAAAAACAAGGTTAAAGACATTCGGATGGAACAGAAGGAACCTTGGCAACATTGCATTGTTCCACCGCAGGGCTGTTGGGCGGCTTTCATTGTTCTCAAGGATGTGTAAGTGTAGACTTACCCACTCCATTCAGGTGCTTTTCGTTTTTCACACTCTGCTGCTTAATGTTGTATGCCTTCTGCTGTGTGAGAGAAAGACAGAGGGAAGAGAGAGAAAAAAGAGGCTTATCAGCTTACAAATATTCACACCAATCTCATCAATCACATCATTACTGACTCTCGGTCTGCTCGCACTTTTCTCCAATTGATTTAGGATGTATTATGAGAGTCTTCAGTGGTCATGAATGCTGGAAACGTGGAGGCACATTAAATATGCTTCTGTCACTGTAACATGAAGCCAGCTGTTCCATTTCTTGCTGTGCAATGCTTGCAAGGAGAAGCATTCTATGCTCTATAAAATGAAGGCAGAATCTCAGGGTGAGTAAAGAAACTTCTTCCTTGTTAACTACTATATACTTACATTTAAATTAATCACTTGGCACAATGTACTTAAAAAAAAAACCTGCATGTAATTACAACTGTAATCTAATTTCTGTAATTACATTTATAATTACACTGTTGACTCGTCCCTTGCAACTTAACCATTTTTTGGGATACATCAAGTTTTCCGTGTTCTTTAGATCAGCATATTAGTTTCCAAGTGTTCCGTGTGATCTTAAACTTAGCAAGGTTCTCCTGTTGTATCAGTCCATAAAATCGATTAACATCTTTTAAAACCATTTTCAAAGGGACAGTTCACTCAAAAATTACCCAACCCAAAAGACCTTTGATCGTCAAACACAAATGAAGACATTTTATATAACATTTCTGCCCCTCCAATTAAAAAAATCCATTCCACCAAAATTGATCAAGACATTGTAAAAAAATGTAGAGTGAATTTAACAGTTATTCCACATTTTCTGACGAGACACCCTCTAAGTCTATATGTTGATCAATTTGTAAATAAAAGCCTAAATTAAATCTGTTCTTTCAGTGGAGGGACAGATATTATTTCATTGAAATATCTTCATTGTGTTTCAAAGATAAACATAAGTCTTGTGGGTTTGAACAACATAGGGGTGAGTAAATGATGACAACATTTGAATTTTTGCATGAACAATAGTATAAATGCATTGAGTTTTGAGTTGAAAATTTCTATTAGCAACAAAATCTAAAGGTGCTTTCCCATATCTCCACATAATCACTGCTTTCAAGTCAAACAGTTTTCATATCTAACCCCAGTATTTACACGCAGTGTGCATGAAACCACTCAAATGTAAAAGTTTGGAGATTCAGCACTGGGAGCACAAAACATCTCTTCTATTAAGTGGACCTCACATCACCCAGCTTTTCTACAGCCTGCAGTTACAAATTAATGCCTGAGGACTCTGGCTCTTTTCTGAGCTATATTCAAAGCAGAACACTCCGGCTGAATGAATGGATATTGTTGCTGCAGTTGCTAGGAGAGGCCTGCTCAGGCTTGGTGTCTTCACAAGAGCCTCACTGTCTCATCGTTCACAGTAAATACATGGAAGCCTGAGGAAGGAAGAAATCTCTTTAATTTCAGCCTTACACACACCTTTTACAACCTAGAAGGAAAATCCTGTGTGTGCAATAATTTATGTTAACTGTTCCTTACACACCCTTTGCAAACAAAACCAACAGGGGATTTTTGTTCACCTGCACAAATATGAATGTAATTTTCCTCTGAACGAGCCCTCAGGCCTGACATAAAAAGGAAGCTTTATTGAGATGTAATTAATTTGCTTGTATTTAAAGGGGATTTGTTTCCTCTCATTGGGAGAGGGGTTTTAAATAGTATTATAATCAACAAAGACTTACTTAGAGGCTGAGAGATCCAAAGCCTCCTCAAGTAACAATGGAATCAGGTTGAAATAAGCTTATGCTCACTAAGAGTCAATCCATATTTGGAGCAGCGTTTCGTGAATGGTAGAGTGGTGTTTAATAGTATGAAGGAGATCTGAATTGGATTTATTCAGCACTGAATGCTCTCCCTTAATTATGGAATGGCCCTCAGTCCATTAAGCTGTGGAACTGGGCTTCATATATCTTGATTCTGTAGTGAAATGTTTCTTAAGCCAGTCAATATGTGTCAGTGTGCCTGTGATTATTCAGACAATACAGGCAGAAATAAACCAATTAAATGCCAAATTTTAGCAAATGGCTGCAATATAACAAAGAGTGAAAAATGTAAGGGGGTCTGAATACTTTCCGTACCCAATATATTATACACACCCACATACACACACAAACAAAGAAAAACAAGTAGATAGAATAGAAAAAATAGAACGCTAGTGTTTTTTTTTTTGTGCAAATGGCTGCAATATAACAAAGAGTGAAAAATTTAAGGGGGTCTGAATACTTTCCGTACCCAATATATTATACACACCCACATACACACAAACAAAGAAAAACAAGTAGATAGAATAGAAAAAATAGAACGCTAGTGTTTTTTTTTTTGTTTGTTTTTTAAAAATAAAGAATAAAAAATAAAAAAAGATAAATATAGATAAAGTAGAATTAAAATAGAACAGAAAGTGTTAGAGTTAGAGGGTCAAATAAAGGTGGAACAGATGTGTTTTTAGTCGTTTCTTGAATATGGTTAAGGACTCAGCTGCTTGGATTGAATATTTCTTTCATTCACTCAAAGACCAGTCACTAGTCAGGTGGCTACACAGCATTTGACCACTGAATTTACAAAAATCATTTCAGGTTTAAAAAGTATTTCAACATTGTGTCAGACTCTGTTCTGTATTTTGTGTGTGTTTTGCTCCCCATGTGTTTCCAATTTGTTTCCAGGTGTGTCTCATCTTCCCCTGATTGAGTTGTATTCTTAAGGAGTGTTTTGTTCTAAGCTCTTTATCTGGTATTGTTCGTCCTTGTGCTGCGTGTGTGTCTGCCTGCCCTGTATTTCCTGGAAGTAGAAGATTAAAGACTGTGATTTGAGTTTACTCCTGTGTCTCCTCGTTCCTCCACAGTAGCCGATGTGTGACAGAATACCAGACAGAGAACAATAAGCGAGGCCAAGGCCACGGAGGCCGTCCAGCCATGGCCTTCTGAGCTCTCTGTTCCGCCATGGATTCCTAGTCTGCCTGCTCCGCCAGGGCGTCCCGAACTGCCTGCTCCGCCATGGCTCCCCAAGCTTCCTGCTCTGCCATGGTCCCTGAGCTCCCTGTGCTGCCATGGTACCCTGGACTGCCTGATCCACCCTGGAGGTATTCCCCGTGTCCCAGTCCTGCACCAGCCTCCAGGGCTCCCACCCCCCTCCCTGGTGGAATTGTTAATGCGCGGGACGCGCCTTCCAGGAGGGAGGGGTGGAGTAATGTCAGACTCTGTTCCGTGTTTTGTGTGTGTTTTGCCCCCCATGTGTTTCCATGCCCTTATTTGGTTTTCCTGTTCCTGCTCCCTGATTGTTTCCAATTTGTTTCCAGGTGTGTCTCGTCTCCCCCTGATTGAGTTGTATTCTGAAGGAGTGTTTTGTTCTAAGTTCTTTGTCTGGTATTGTTCGTCCTTGTGCTGCGTGTGTGTCTGCCTGCCCTGTATTTCCTGGAAGTAGAAGATTAAACCAGGACAGCCAGGCACAAGAACAGTTTCTTTCCCCAGGCAATCTACCGCATGAACAGCTAATGTTCTCCCATTGTGCAATTAAAGTATGTGCAATAACCTTATACTTATTTATCACCCTAAATCCTAGTACATCCCTACAACTTTATTTTATTTTATTCTATTCCTATTCTATCTATAGCACACCTGTACATACAATTTATTCTTTTTTTGTGGTTTATATTTATGCATGTGTATTTTATTCACATCTTATTTTTATTACCTGTGTG